TCCGTCCTGATGTGCGCGTGACAGAGGTGACGCGGCGCGAAGGCACGTTGAAAGCCACCGGAGGCATGTTGAAAGCTATCTTGAGCCATCTTGGGATACCTTCCGCGATCTCGGAGGCCATATTGAGCTCTTGGGGGCACTCCTGGAGCCATCTTAAACCATTTTGGGCGCTACAACGCCTCGCGGGGCGCCCCGTCCAGGACCAGGGGGAGGGGGTTAGGGGGAGTGGGAACCCCCTCCCCGAAGGGGAAGAAGGGGGTTTAGCAGAGCGAGCTCTTGAGACCACTCACGCCCCAAAGGTCTGGTGGGATTCCTCGTCTTCGTCCTCCTCCACCTCCTTTCCTCCTCCTCCTCCTCCTCCTGCTCTTCCTCGTCAGAGGTGTTTATCAAGGGGATGAAGACATCTTGGGGTAGTGGCGCTCCTCCGAGCCCGGGGCTATTGTCGCCTTTCTGTCCTGAGTGCCCGAGTCCGGGGCGATTGTCGCTTTTTCTGGCTTGTGCCGTTGCGGTTGAGTGGGGCTCTCTTTCTTTTCTCTTCGCCCTCTTGCCCGCTCTTCGCCCTCGTGCCCACTCTTCTGTCTTTCTCACATCCTCGGTCGACCGGCGCTCCTCCTGCTCCTCCTCGCGCAGCGCAGCGTGCAGCGTGCGAATCAGGTCTCCTGCGCTGTCGGCGGCCGCTCGCTCCTGAAGCACAAATGTTAGCTCCTGGCATTCCCCCTCCTCCTCCTCCTCCTCCTCCTCCTCCTCCTCCTCCTCCCCCTCCTCCTCCAATGGGGGAATTCTTGGCGATTCGCTTATCCCCACCAGCCTATCCATGAACAACGCCCTGGCGCATTGAGGTGATCAGGAAGTGCGGGAGCAAAGAAGGGGATCTCCGAACCGCGCGAAGGAGGGAGGAGGAGAAGGAGGCTGGATGGATGGATGAAGGAGTGGGGAAAGGGATGGCGCATACGATGATGAGGAAGAGAAGGAGGAGTAGGAAGAGAAGGATGAGGACGAGAAGGAAAGGCTCGGGGCCCTCTTGGTGCCCTCCTGGAGCTCTCTTCGGGCCCTTTTGGAACCCTCTTGGAGCCCCCAGAGGGGGCCTGGACAGGGTAGGAGGGCTCCCGAGGAGCCCTAGGAGGGGGCAGGAGGGCCCAGAGAGAGGGGGCCCCAGGAGGCCCCAGGAGGCAAAGTGGCTGAGAAATGGAATGCTCTTGGGGCCCTCTTGGAGCCCTCTTGGTGCCTTCTTGGGGCCCCGAAAGTCTCGGTCGGAGGTGAGTCGTTCGGGCCCCTCGGTTCTCGGAGGTAAGCGTTCGGGCCCTTCAGTTTTTGGTCGGGGGTGAGTCGTTCGGGCCCCTCAGTTCTGGGTCGGTGGTGAGTCGTTCGGGCCCCTCGGTTCTCGGTCTTCCGAGCGGGAATCGAGGGGCCCGAACGATTCACCTCCTTCCGAGAACCGAGGGCCCGAACGACTCACCTCCGACCGAGGACCGAGGGGCTCGAACGACTCACCCCCGACCGAGAAGTGATGGGGCCCGAGCGACTCACCTCCGACCGAGAACCGAGGGGCCCGAACGACCATGTCTGCCCATAGAGATGTTTCAGGGGCCATGCTTTAGGGAAGTTTCAGGGGCCGTGCTTTAGTGATCTTTCAGGAGCCGTGCTTGAGGGGTGTCTCAGGGGTTGTGATTCAGGGATGTTTTAGGGGCCGTGCTTTAAGGGGGGTTCCAGGGGGCGTGCTTTAGGGATGTTTCAGGGGCCATGCTTTAGGGTTGTTTCAGGGGCCGTGCCTGAGGGATGTCGCAGGGGCCGTGCGCTAGGGATGTTTTAGGGGCCGCTCTTCCTGTGGCATCGGATTCAATATGCCCAGAGTAGAGTTGGTAGTAGTAGTAGTAGTAGTAGTAGTAGTAAGGTGGTGGTGGTGGTGGTAGTAGTAGTAGTGGCCGACGTAGTTGCACCAGTAGTCATAGCAGTCGTAGTAGTAGAAGTTGTACTAGGTGGTGTAGCCTTAAGCGTCCGTTGTCCTCGTGTCCTTAAGCGTCCGTTGTCGTCGTGTCCTTAATCGTCCGTTTTCTTCGTGTCCTTAAGCGTCCGTCTTCCTCGTGTCCTTAAGCCTCCCTTGTCTTGTGTCCTTAAGCGTCTGTTTTCCTCGTGTCCTTAAGCGTCCGTTTGCGTCGTGTCCTTAAGCGTCAGTTTTCCTCGTGCCCTTAAGCGTCGCTTCTCCTCGTGTCCTTAAGCGTCCGTTTCCGTCGTGTCCTTAAGCGTCCGTTATTCTCGTGCCTCGACGCAGCAATAGTCGTACTACTACCACCGCAGTCCGATGCCACAGGAAGAACGCTCTCGGCATCTTAAACCCGATGCCTTTGAGGCCTGAATGCGTCGGGCTTAGGGTGCCCAAATCGTTTGTCTTTGAAGTCTCAGAGGCTTCGGATTTAATATGCCAAATGGAGAACGCTTTGGGCATCTGAAGGCCGATGCATTTATGCCCCAAAGGCATCGGCCTTAAGATGCCCAAAATCGTTCTTCTTGTGGAAGAACGCTGTGGACATCTTGAGTCCGATGCCTGTGAAGCCTAAAGGCATCGGGTTTAAGATGCCACAGGAAGAACGCTCTGGACATCTTAAGCCCGATGCCTTTCGAAGCCTAAAGACATCTTTAAACCCCGATGCCACGGGAAGAACGCCTTGGGCATCTTAAGTCCGATGCCTTTGCGGCCGGCAGGCGTCGGATTTGAGACGCCCAAAGCGTTCTTCCTGCGGAAGAACAGCTTGGGCGTCTTAGGCCCGATGCCTTTGAAAGCCAAGACATCGGATTTAAGATGCCAAAAGCGTTCTTCCAGTGGATAAACGCTTGGGGCATCTGGAGTCCGATGCCACGGGAAAACCGATTTGGGCACCATAAGTCCGATGCCTTTGGGGCCTAGAGGCATCGGACTTAAGATGCCCAAAGCGAGCGTCCACAGGAAGAACACTTTGGGCATTTTAAGTCCGGTGCCACGGGAAGAACGTTTTTGGCATCTTAAGTCCGGTGCCACGGGAAGAACGCTTTGGGCATCTGAAGGCATATGCATTTGAGGCTTAAAGGCATCGGATTTAAGATGCCCAAAGCGTTCGTCCACAGGAAGAACGTCTTGGGCATCTTAAACCCGATGCGTTCGAAACCGAAAGGCATCGGACTGAAGATGACCGAAGCGTTCTTCCAGTGGGAGAACGTTTTGGGAATCTTAAGTCCGATGCAACAGGACGAAAGCTTTGGGCATCTTAAGTCCGACGCCTTGTGGCCGAAAGGCATCGGACTTAAGATTTTGAGTTTCTTAAGTCGGATGCATTTGAAGACTAAAGGCATCATAAGTCCGATGCCACAGGGAGAACGTTTTGGACATCTGCCCTGCGGCTCTGGGAGCCCCTGGGAAACGCTGTACCCCCTCTTCCCTCATCCTCCCCTACTCCCTCCTCCTTCCTCCCTCCCCCCTTCCCCAATCTCTCTACCCTCCTTTCCCTCCTCCTTCCTTCCGTCAGCCCACATATCAAGGTGCCGTCGACCACTTGGGGGTGCCAGGGGGGCCCGTGATCGGGGGTGGGGGTTAGATATCCTGTCATGCACATAAGGCACGGGTGGCGGCCCCTTGGGGGGCTCCTTGGGGCCCGCAGGGGGCCGTCTTAGGACCACAAGAGGACCCAATGAGTTCTTTGCAGGGTACTGCAGGGGTCTGGTTTGCAGAGTGTTGCTGGGGTGATTGCATGCGAGGCTTTGCAGGGTCTTTGCGGGGAAGGCCAGGGGAGAGGGCAGGGGGAGGGGTCAGTTCAGATGGAAGAGGGAGCTCCCCAGACCACCCCACGCCGCACAGGGCTGGCGGGGTTCTTTGGTTTCGACGGCCATGCGTAATGCCAGCGGCTGTTGGAGTCTAAGGTTCTGGGGTCATAGATTTATGGCGTGCTCGGCCAAGGGAGGGGCGGGCTTTGGGGGCGGGGCAACATCGCGGGGTCCATCCGGGACCAGGGGGTACCCCATCGCGCGCTGAAGGCGCGGTGGCGGATCGATGGGCGCAGATGGCAAGCCAATGCTCGTCGAGGGCCAGCCGTCGTGGGACCTGCCCGTCGGGTACATTGGCGAATCGGAGCAGTCCTCCGCTCGCGCGCAGGAAGCGCTCGAGCTCGCCGACGGTCTCAGGGCCATCGGCGAGAAGTGGGCGGAGTGGCACGCGGCCGCCACGGCCGCCGGGAAGGTGCCGGGCACGCCGATGACGATGATTGGGGTCGCGCCTGCGACGCCGATGACGGGGGGCGCGCCAGCGTCGGCCGCCCCGTCGCCAGCCCCGGCAACGCGGCCGTCCTCGCCCGGGGGGGCCGCCCTCGGTTCCCCAAGGCCCGTCGGTAAGGATGTGAGCCAGGAGGAGGTTGAGGCGGCCCTTGAGTCGACCTTGGAGCATGCTTTGCAGGATACTACCTCTTCGCTTTCCTCTGCCCCCGCCCATCCAAGTCATGTGTCCAAGCATTCTTGCACCCGCCCGGTCGACTAAGAACCCCCCTTGAATCCAGACACCCTCCTCTATCCAGAAACTCAATTGGACCCCCCTTGGATCCAGACTCCCTTTATGTCCAGGACCCTCTCCCCATGTTGAGCCGAGCCTCCAGGAACGAGGATGTATTCGATGGGGGCTGGAAACTGTTTTTCCCCATGCTATGCTGGAGCCCAAAGCCCCCCGACCTGTGATCTGCCACGGCCACGTGCACATTATTGCGCACGTGGAGCACGCTGCCGCCCGCATGAGCAGGCGCCCCCGCCCCCGCGTGAAACAAAAAAAAACTCGACTGTAGCAGCATAGCTGAGCCAGCAACATTTTGTCTGACACGCTTGCTGGGAGGGCGTCCCACCCAGCCCCTCTTCTTACTTATCCCTTTCCACCCTTATGCATTGCTGCCCAACCGCGTGGCCGTTACCATTCCGAGGAGGGTGCCGGCGCCGTGAAGAGCCCGGATGACATCTGGGAGGAGTTGCTCGCCATCGCCAGCCGTTTCCAGATGAGCTCCCTGTGCGATCGCAACAAGACTCGCATGAGGCACAACTTGCAGAATAAGCTGTTGCAATGGTACGTGTCCTGCTTCGAGCTGTTGCCAGTTGAGTCTATCGACTCGTTCGAGCCCGTCACGTTCGCCCACTGTCTCATTGAAGACATCAAGAACTCCAAGGACACCGCGTCTGGAGGAAGGGAGAAATGCAGAGAAAGCAAGGGAGGAGGAGGAGGAGGAGGAGGAAGAGGAGGAAGAGGAAGCGGTCGTTCCAGCGGCCCCAATGTTTATGTCGTCACAGCGTTATTGTTTGTCACTCCAGCATTTCCAGTGGCTTCCCCTCTCCCTCCCCCCTCTCCCTCCTGGTCCTTTTTCCCGTGCGCGGTATCTTCGGCAATCCGAGTGGCACCTTAGTTTCTGGTCGTAGCGGCGCTGCTGTTGACCACCCCGATAATTCTACAATCGACAGGCGGAAACCTGTTCATCGTCGTCGTCTTCGTCGCCCTCCCCCTCCTCCTTTCCTCCTCCTCCCCCGCCCTTTGGCGGGGCGACCCCAGCCAGGAGGTCAAGGCCATTGACAAGAAAAAGGAAGCATTGGAAGCCTGGGGCCAGCAGGTCGCCCAGGTCTGCACTTCCATCGTCGACGCAAAGAACGCGTTGGCGAGAAAGGTGCGCGCGCGCAAATCCCAGGACGATGCTGCCCGGCGCAAGGCTGAGACCGAACAGAGGGCGAAAGCGAGTCAGGCGATCGGCCAGAAGGCGGACGAGGCTCGGCGGGCTTTGAAGTACACCGACCAGACAGCCGTCTTCTTCCTAGAGTGGGAGCAGATCGGCCACCGCATCGTCCAATGCGACGAGGGATCACCAGAGATCGAGGCTCTGTTGGACCCGTTCGTCGTCACTAGCAGCGACAGCATCAAACGCCTGGAGAGCAACTCGACCTTCCGGATGCTTCCTGAGGGTTTAAAATGTTCAAAAAGGGTCGCGCCCTCAGCCACAAGAGTTGACAGGCTGAGTCTTTCCGGGGTTGTCCCTGGGCCTTGGGACCTCGGGAAGTTTTCGCTCAGCACCGAGGGGCCAAGAGGATCCCAAGACGGCCCAAGAGGCCTCCAAGATGCCCAAGAGGCCTCCAAGACGGCCCTGAGGCGCCCCCAGAGGGCCCCAAGTCGGTTCAGAGAGGCCCCCAAGACGGCTTCCGACGGCGTCAGACGGACCAGGAAAGCCTTAAGACGGCCAAAGAGGGCCCCAAGAAACCACCGAAGGCCCCCAGCAGGCCCAAGGAGGCCCCCAAGAGGCTTCCAAGAGGCCCCCAGGAGGCTCCCAGCAAGCCCCAAGAGTGCCCCAAGAGATTCCCAAGAGGCCTCCTCCTACTCCTCCTCTTCCTCTTCCTCTTCCTCTTCGTGTTCATTCTCCCCCACATGTTCCCCGAAGGCTTTCCAAACCGACTCGGGGAACTCATGGTCCGATAGCTTGGCCAAGCTCTAGCCCAACTTTCGTCCACATCGGCGTTTCCAAAAATGCTAGGGGCGGCGGTGATTCGCCGTAGGCGTCTGTTCGGCACCCAAGACCGCCCCACAAGGGCCCCAGAGGCTCCCAAAAGGCCTCCAAGACGGCCCAAGAATGCTCCAAAGACGACGACGACGACGACGACGACGAGAGACAGTGAGGGAATTTGTGCCCCCACGGGGGTGGGCAGAAATTCCCTCAGACGACGAGAACGACGACGACGACGACGACGACGACGACGACGACGACGACGACGACGACGACGACGACGACGACGACGACGACGACGGTGTTTTGTGGGCTCCAAGAGGGTTCCAAGAGCCCCCCAAGAAGGTTCCAAGAGGCCCCAAGAGGGGATGTGATTAGACGCATTCTCGCAGGAACAAGGAGAAGACGGGCGTGCTGGACCTCTGGGAGTCCAAGTCGGGGTTCAAGGGCGCCTTGGCCCAGGGAGACAGCTTCCAGCATGCGTTGGTGCAGGAGCAGGCCGTGGGGCTTAGCCGCACTCCCCGTCACCGCCTCCCCACCTCCCCACTTTTTCCTATTCCCCACTCCTCCTCCCTCGTCGCCCCCCTGCCTCTTTTTCTCGTCGTCGTCGTCGCCCTCCTCCTTTTCTTCGGGGCCAGGGCCGACGGCTTGCCCGCCCGCACTTGCTGAGGTGCGCTTGCTCCTTACACGTGGGTCTTGCAGCCCCGGCGCATTTCGGAGGCCGGGGAGCGTAGGGGTGTGTAGCCGCGCGCGCCCCCGGTCCCGGGCGCGCCCCCAGGGCTTGGCGGACATGGAGTCCTTGTTCTCCGCTTTCGTCGGCAAGGCCGCCGTGGTAGACACGGTCCCGCACGAGGCTGCGGCGCATGACTTGGAGACGGTCCTCCTCATGGGTTTCAGCGGCCACTACGTGCGCATCGGCGCCGAGCCGCACTACCTCGGGAGCATGAGGCGACTTGGCGAGTTTAAAAATGGGGCAGCTTGTGCACCACAGGGTAAGCGGTAGAAGAGGGGGAGGAAGCGGAGGAATGAGGAACGGTGCGGGGGAGAGGAGAACATTGACTTGGATGGGTGCTCTGTGACCCCGTGTAGCGCGTCACTCTCACAGCACTAGTCTGAATTCGCAAGGCGAACACAGTTGTCCAGGGGGTGCAATCATGCGGCCCAGCAGGCTGATCACCTCTGGCTGCATGAAGGTTGTGTGCGCTGCAGCAGACGACCTGCTGAAGGCGGCGGACGTGCGCGATGGGCTGGTTGGCAAAAACACGTTGGCGCATGCGAAGTCTATCCTGAGTTCCCTGGCCAAGAAGGAGGCCGGGAGGGGGGTCAGGGGCGGAACCGGATATGATTCGGAGAGTCTCTCTAAAGAACTGGGCGGCGGGAGGGGGGGGATGAGAGAAAAGTCAATGGGGAAAACCTGGGCGGACTTGCAATTGATTCGGCCAAATATCGGAGCCGGGTTCTGAGAAGGGAGGCCCCTCCTGGCTCATGCGCCGCGTCCTCGTCCTCGCATGTGTCCTCGTGTCCATCGTCGCGCCCAATTCCCGTCTTCTTGCAGCCGGTGCGCGGCAGGCCGCCGCGTCCAGGAAATCATTTCGTCGGTGATGCGTCGGCGAAAATTGTTGGCGATGCATCCGTCTCTGTCGTTGCCCCGTCGCTCGTTTGTCAATCTCGTGATCCAGGTTGTTGGATTGGCCCGTAAATCCAGCGATCCCGCCTAGCCAAGGGGACTTCGGCATCATCAAAAGGACGCCAGTGGTTCTTCATCCGTGCGATTTCGCCATTAGATATGTGCGGGAATATTTGGCGTGGGTCATGTTGGGCGCCCCAGGCAAGTCAGTGGCGGCGTGAGTTTTTTGAAGAGCTGGCCCGCTAGACCATTGAGGCCTTGCCAGTTAGGCCTCGAATCCAAAACTCGGGGGGGGGGGGAGGATGAGGAGGAAGAGGAGGATAAAGAGGAGGAGGAGGAGGAGGAGGAGGAGGAGGAGGAGAGCTAAAAGAAACGGACGAAGAGTTAGAGGGCGAGGAGTGGGGAAGGGAGGGCTGGAGGAGGGATAGGAGCAAATGGAAGAGGAGGAGGATGGGGGAGGAGGCGGAGGAGAAGGAGGAGGAAACGGCGGAAGACATTTTTTTGCCACGGGGGGACTTCCTTGAGGACGCGTCGGGGCTGACCGAGCACGGTGCCCAGTTCTACCACGCCGTTGTGCAGGCGGGGCAGATGCTCTTCGTGCCGCCGGGCTACGTCACGGCGTTTGCCGTCATGAACGGCGACCCTTGCGGCTTGTGCCGCAAGTTCCTCTTGCCGAAGCGTGGCAGCGAAGATCGTTTGGCCTTTCTGAGTGCGAGGGCCCCTGAAGAGGTGGCTGAATGTCTAAATCTTCTGAGGCAGGCGGTGTCTGCTAAGAGGCTCTGCGCTTAGGGCGCGATTGTGCCATGTTGGGCCCAGCGCGCGCGGCGGACGGCGAAGGGAGTCAGGCCGAGGGTGAAGGCGAGAGGCGAGAGGGAATCGGCCATGGCCTCCGATGTCGTCAGACACCGGAGGCCATTGATGCGGGGGACGGGGGGGAGGGAAGGGAAGGGATGGGGGAGGGGAGGGACGGCAGCCGGCAAAGCAGCAATACCTTCAGAACGTTCCTCAAGAGCTCGATGCGGAAATGCCGCCCGAGTTGTCGGGTCACGGGGTTTTGCCCCTTTCTCTATCTCCAATACCTTTGCCCTTTCTCCCCCCCCTCGCCTCTCTGCGTTTCCCCGTCCTTCCCCTCCCCTCCTTCCCGCGCCTCCCGCTACTCAAGCCGCCAGGTTGCCAGTGTGTAGATTACCCAGTAATCATTACTGGAGGCGCGCGCAGAGCGTAGAAGAGCAGGGTCCATAGACATGGATGGGTTTCGAGACTTCTCGGAAAGATTGCGGCCGGCCGCAATGGAGGAAAAGAAAAGGCACCCATCATGCGTTCATCGCCCAGTCAATCGCCATTCGCTCGACGTTTGCCCTCGTGGTAGGCCAGGCCCCGGCGTGCGTCGTGGCGCGCACATTGCGAAGGCCTTACGGCCGGTGCCGCCGACCTTGAAGGGGGGCGACGACGACGACGACGACGACGATGGCGGCGGCGGCGGCGGCGACGACGACGACGCTGACGTGGCTCAGAGGTCTTCGGGGATTCTGTTTCAGGGTCTCTTCTGGGCGTTCTCGGAGGCCTCCGGAGAACAGTTTTGGGGGCCTTCTGGGGGCGTCCTGGGGGCCTCTTGGGAGCAGGCGTGCGTCGTGGCGCGCGCATTTGGTGTCTTTCTCTGGATATCGCGCCACGCTGGCCCCTGCCGCGCCCAATCCTCGGACACCGCCCCTTCCAGACCCCGTGCTACTCAAAGGCAGTCTTTGGTACCCACATGTTTCACATGTCCCATAGGTTCCACAGGTTCCGCATGTCCCGCGTGTCGCGCAGGTCTCGCAGGTCCCGCAGGCCCCGCAGGCCCCGCAGGTCCCGCAGGTCCCACTGGGTCTCACAGGTCCCACAGGTCTTACAGGTCCCACAAGCCCCACAGGTCCCGCAGGCCCCACAGGATCCACAGGGTCCGTATTTCTCACAAGTCTCGCAGGTCGCGCAGGACCCGCCAGTCCCGCATACTCCATAGGCCCCGCAGGCCCCGCAGGTCCCACAGGTCCCACATGCAGGTCCCGCACGTCCCACAGGTTCCGCAGGCCCCACGGGTCTTACAGGTTTTAAAGGTCTCGCAGGTCCCGCATGTCCCGCAATTCCCACAGGTCCCGTAGGTCCCAGAGGACCCATAGGTCCAACAGGTCCCACAGGACCCGCAGGTCCCGCAGGTCCGCAGGTGCCACAGGTCCCACAGGTATGAATGACCCCACAGGTTTCACAGGTTCTCGCAGGTCCACCGGTCGCACATGTCCCGCAGGTCCCGCAGCTCTCACAGGTCCCACAGGTTCCGCAGGTCTCCCAGGTCCCTCAGGTCCCACAGGTCCCACAGGCCCCCCGGGTCCCACAGGTCCCGCAGGTCCGACAGGTCCCGCCGCCAGCACAGGTCCCACGAGTCCCACAAGTCCCGCAGGTCGCGCAGGTCCCACAAATCCCGCAGGCCCAGCATATCCCACATGTCCCACAAGTCCCACATGCCCCACATGTCCCACAGGTCCTACAAGTCCCGCAAGCCCCGCAGGCCTCGTAGGTCTGGCAAGTCCCGCAGGCCCCGCAAGTCCCAGTCCCCCCAGGTCCCACATGCCCCGAAGGCCCCACAGGTCCCACAGGCCCGATAGGGCTTACAGGTCCTACAAGGGCCACGGGGTCCGCAGGTCCCGCAGGTTCCGCAGGACCCGCAGGTCCCACAGGTTTCGCAGGTCGCGCAGGTCCCGCATGTCCCACACGTCCCACAGGCGACGCATGCCCCACAGGCCCCTCAGGCCCTACAGGTCCCACAGGCCCCACAGGTCCACCCAGCCCCTCCGGTCCCACAGGTCCCACAGGTCCCACATGTCGCGCCGGTCCCGCAGGCCCCGCAAGTTCCGCAGGTCCCACGGGGCCTACAGGTGCCACAGGCGCCACAGGTCCCACTGGTATCGCAGGTCCTGCAGGTCCCACAGGTCCTACGAGTCCCTCAGGTCCTACAGGTCCGACAGGTCAGGCAGGTGTCGCAGGTGGCGCAAGCCCCGCAGGTCCCACAGGTCCCACAGGTCTCGCAGGGACGACAAGTTTTGCAATTTCGAAGGCCCCACAGGTCCCACCAGGCCCACGCGTCCCACAGGTCCCAAGGGTCCCACAGGTCTCGCAGGTCCCTCAGGTCCCACAGCTACCGCAGCCCGCACAGCTCCCACAAGTTCCACAGGGCTCACGCTCCCAACATTTCTCCCAATTCCGGCAGGTTCCACAGGTCCCGCAGGTCCCACAGGTCACCTTTGGTGTTATTAAGATGGTTCCTGGGGTGATGTTTGCAAGGCGAAGGCGCGTGTAATTGCATGCGCTGCGCGCAGTGCAGAGTGAACCGTGAGTGCAAGTGCGAAACGCTGCCATGTAAATTTGGGATTGCGCCCGTCCTGGAATCTTTTTGTGAACTTGCGGTTGCGGCGGTTTCCATCGTGGTCACTCTTTTTCGCGAAAGTGTCTGACGAGCGCAAGATGCGCATGATAGTGGACGCCCGCCGCGCCAATGCCTGGTTCAACGTGCCGCCCGGCGTGCAGCTCCTCTCCTGCAAGGGCTTCGGGCGCGTGGAGGTGAGGCCCCCCGAGGGAGTGGCCATCGGCTCCGCCCGCGCGGAGGAGCTGCTGGGCAAGTTCAAACTTTTTCTGGGGGTGACGGACGTTAAGGGCTGCTTCTACCGCGTGCGGATGCCTTTGAGACTGGCGAAATTCTTTTCGCTGCCGGCCGCGCCCGCCCACGTCTTAGGGCTCGAGGGCCAGGGGCTCGAGGGGGCTCGACTGGGGCCAGACGCCCTGGTCTTCCGTGCATCGGCGCGCTCCCCATGGGCCCATCGCGGTCGCTCTTCCTGGCGCAGGGTGCCAACGAGGAGAGAGTGGTCAGCTCGAACCCTTGGCCGGGAGGAGATGTGACGATCTCCGAGAGGCTGCTCATGAGCGACCGAGGGCCCTCGCTGGTCATGGACGTCGAGCCTGGCCGCGTGGGAGGGGCCTACGCGTACGTCGACAACCTGGGCGCCATCACCCCGTCGGAGACCATCGCGCAGGAGGTCCTCGATCAGTGGGCGGGGCTTTGAGGGGGTCGGCCTCGACTTGCAAAAGAGCTCCGTGACCTCGGCCGCGTGCGAGGCTCTGGGGGGCCAAGCTGGACCTCGAGCTGATGAGGTCGGGCGTGAGCGACGGCCGCTTCTGGGAGGTAGACGCGGGGCTGGGGGGCCTGCTGTGGTGCGGCCGCGCGACGGGGCGAGCCCTGGAGGTGGTGCTCGGCCACTGCGCCTTCTGCGGGCTGGCTCTGCGGGGCCCGTTGAGCTGCTGGCGCGCCTCCTGCCGCTTCATCCAGCGGCGCTACCTCGAGCCCGCTCGCCTCTGGCCCGAAGTAGTAAAGGAGGTGAAAATGTTTCGCGGCCTGCTCGCGTTGATGGCGCAGGACTGGTGGCGCCCTTGGAACAGCTGCGTGCCCCAGACCGACGCCGGCGAGAGCGGCTGCGGCATGGCGCAGTCGTTCTGGCCGCTCCGCGTGGTGGAGGAGGTCGGGAGGTTGCCCGAGCGGGCCCGCTTCCGCTCCGCGCAGGGAAGGCCCGCGCGAGAGAGCGCGCTCGCAGCCGCCAGCCTGGCCCAGGATAGTTCGGGGATCATCCGCAGCGTCGAGAGTGTGATAAATGGGGGTTCCTCGGAGCCCGATGCTTTGTCCGCTTGGGGCGTTGATCCTGATTTTGCCGAAGTCCCCTCGGAGTGGCTCCGAAAAGGGACCTGGGAGACGGTCCGCTCAGGGATCTGGCGTTCTCGCGAAGGCATTTTGATCCTGGAGGCCAGGGTCCTTGTGAAAGTAGTCCAGAGGTTGGCCAAGACCTCTCATGGAGTCAGTGTGCGTCAGCTTTTCCTTTCAAATAACATGTATGTGGTGCTTTCTTTTTCGAGGGCCCGATCCTCATGCTTCAGTCTTTTGGTTCAGATTCGTCGATTCTATGCCTATGCCATAGCGTTGGGTCTTTCACCAGCCTTTCGATGGATCCCGTCGGAGTTTAATGGGGGCGACGAGGGCAGCAGGGTTTTGTCAGATAGCGACAGTAGTATAGTAACATCTCTCCTTGATGATAAGTTCGAGGCCAGTTTAAACCTGCAGACCCGTCCTCCAAGAGCCGCCCCCAAACCAGATCTCTGTTGGTCCTGTCAGTAGGCGTTAAAACCTTCGGTTCTGGCCACCATCGCCGAGCTTCCGATCAATGTAGAGGGCTCTGAGCATGGGCCCGAAGCGGCTGCGGGGGCTCAGCGCGCTTGTAGTTCGGGAGCCGCCGCTGCCTTCAGGCGACAGGCTCCCTCGGACAGCGGTGGGCTCGCGGGCGCTGACGGCCAGACACGTGGCGAGCCGCGCGCGGGCTGGCCCGAGGGGCGCCCAGGCGCCCGCCGCCCCGCCTGCGGCAGGGCGCCGACGCGCGCTGGCGCCGGCCCCCTCCGCTGTGCTAGCGAGGGCTGCGCGGAAGGAGCGGCGCTTCTCGGCGCTGGGCGACAGGGGCGCCAACGGGCAGGACCTCGCTGGAGACGGAGGGGAGGCCGCCGAGGGCGACAGCAGCTCCAGCACTCCGACTCGGTGATCGAGCACCTGGGGCGCGGCCGCGCGCGGATGCGGCAGCTGCGCGCTCGGAGGGCGCAGAGGCGAGCGAAGCTGTGCGCCGACGCGATCCTTGCTGCTCAGGAAGCGGGAGTGAGCCTCTTGGACACCTTGGCCGCGGCGCGGCCGACGCAGGTGAGGCACCAGCGTTGCCTCGATCTCTTCC